GTTAGTTAAAACTAAGTTTTCGTTTAAAACTTAAGCCTATAAGTATTAAGGCAATATAATTGTAGTATGAAGTTAAGCTCCTGATATAATGAAACATTAAACCCCTCCTTAATTAGTACACAGCCTTCGATATAAAATATATTAACATAATCTGCAGTCCAGGCCCTGTAGAAATCTTTTTGTTCTTAAAAGACAAGATTAAGCACTTTACATAGGCGTCTAAGATTGTTTATCGACGATTATGCCAATTAAAGTTTACCATGGGCTTGTTGTATTGAGGACGCCCACTGTGTCATCTCACGCGACCATCATTGTTTTCAGCCGGAATTTATGTATTCTCTCTCAGCGAATTTATTTAAGACAATATTCTATTGCATCTTTAAAATAATTCCGAAGTCTTGTTTTAAAATATTGGATTCACGACTAAAATTAAAACGATTCAAAGTCCAAATCAAAAATCATTTTTTCACGTAGGTTATGAACGTCACGTCAGTTAAAACCAAAAGACTGTAATTTTTTTAAATTCTTACAAATATCGCGTAAAAAATATTGCATGATGCATTTTTTTATGAATTAATGAAATAAAAAAGGGTAATGTGGTCTAGTCTAGGCTATTCATTAGGAGTCTATTTCATGTGTCATAAGCGTAAATTGTAATTTAAGTTTGGAAAACCCTAATTGTGTAGTTTATAATAACTTTAATATTTTTTAAATAAGAATTCGATTTTAGATTGAAAAAAAAAACAAAACCGATAGAGCTTGAATCGGCATCTACAGCGTTGCTTTCTGTTCTAACCAACAGTGCACATTTGGTTAGAGCAGCAGCACGGAATGCTGTGAATGTCGGTTCAAGTCCCGCTATTTTTGTTGGTTTTCAATTTAAAATCAATTTTTAACTAGTGTCGTTAATGTCTGAAATGATTGAAGAAATGTCAAATAAGTTTAAGTAATATATATCGCGTTTTAAACCGTTAAGGTGTTTTATTTAAATGTGTACTACTGGCGTAAACTATAAACAATATTTGATTGAAAAAGTTCACTTTTACGTACGTAAGTGTTAAGGGGAGTTTGAAGATTTAAAGAATGATATATTCTTCGAATAAACTGCATCGGGGTATCTCGGTCAAGGAGATGTGAAACTCTGGATAAGTATAACCCATTATCATCAGGCGAGTAAAGACCAGCAGTGATGAGGTTAATCTCAGAGTCATCTAAAGAACAATTTGCGAAAATGGCGTCGACGAAAACACGATTCGTAACGGTTAAGTACAATTAAGGCTAATGATAAAAGTGATTTATTTATTGTGATTATTATTCGTGACGAATATTCAATTTGTGAAGGCGAGGAAAATTAAAGTGAATTATCAATAAACAGATAAGGTGATTAGTTTATCTTTTTACAAATTAAACTATAGCTTATCTAGGTTAGAATTAAAAATGATTTTTACTTTAATAAATTTTGTGTGGGATAGATAGACCATTTTTTGTAAAAAGGTTTAGGTTATACAACATCACGCTTCGTAGAATAGGAGCGAAGAAAAAACGGGAAACTTATTTCTTTTAGGCTTCCCTTGCGTGCGCTGCGAAATCGATTAAAAAAAATAAATATTAAAGAATAATTAGTTTTTAAATTATCTAAAAAAAAATCCTCGACTGCATATTTCTATCCTTTAAGATTAACTTGCAAGAACGATGGGACACGGACGACTTTTTAAGTGAGACCTATTTTTATTATGTATCACTTTGGAGGTGTTGGGTGTAGTTATATTATATTAAAAAAATAACAAATATATTTTGCGTTCTAAACCGTTGAAAGAGTTTTATTTGCGTAAGTTACTATATAAAATACTTAGGACTATGTTGATAGATATATATATTTTTGTTCTTAATTTTAATGGCAGTACAAAACTCACCTTAAACTTGACTTTCTTCTTTTCATATCTATGTTAGACTAAAAAAACATCTAACAATCTGGGAGGGAACAAATTGGTTACAAAATTAGGTACCATTGAACTTACTTGCTCATGGCCGAACATAATGATAGAGCGCGAGGTGAAAATTATAAGGATTACACTTGCTATGTAATCCGAAGTTATATACAAGGCTGAGAAGAATTCCGTGATCGTAATAGTCCAATTACGGAGTCTTATAAGCTTCTTATTCGGTACTTACTAATATCAACCTTTCTTTACATGATCACACCATTGTAAGTTATATATTTTTCATGAGAGGAGGGCAGACAATCATCCATGAGAGACACGGTCTAACCCTGAAACATGTAAATAAAAGGCACTGTCACTTTTAGACTTTAAGATTCGGAAATCTATAGTTGGATACCGATATTTTTTTTTACTCATTTAATATAGATTCTGATGAATTAGGTAAACTGGTTTAATCTCGACATTAAAGTACGTTGGACCTGGTTCGATTCCCAAACCCATGGAATGTTGGTTATGGTATACGACATTCGATGGGTTGGTCTTATGGTAGCAAACGTATGGCTAATAACCAATAGGCGCTTGGTTTGAACCAGGGTCCAAGTGTTTCTACACAATTTATATTTTTTCTGAAATATTTAAAACTTCATATACACAATTTAATCATTCCGTTCTAGGAACATTTAATCGAACCTTATTACGCACCACCGTCCATAGATGAAAAATTTAATTCTGTTTTGTCTATGGATTTCGTTTATGGAGAACCATATACTTTTCTGTCCTTTCCAAAAAAAATGCTTCTGGACTAACCATCCCGTTTAATATCTCTACATTTATCTAAAATCGCTCTCAATATGCGTCGTTCGATGCATGAGTATGCTTCGCTTTGCCTGAGATCATGATAATATGGATCCATAGATACAATTCTGATAAGGACGTCAACTATAATCTGTCCTGCATTTATGTCGTTACTTTTTTATTGTAAGATATATTCAAAGATATTCTTTTTACTATACTACTTACTATTTTGATTATATGTGAAGAGTGATCAGTTATATTTGTTCCACTTGAGTACATAAACAGCATAAATTCAATACTATAGAGAGTAGTACACATTTGAAAAATATAACGTTAGACTCCAAACTACAATGGGGATCTCATATCAGGAAAGCCTCGAGCAAACTCAGTTCTGCAGCCTTTGCCGTAAAAAAAGATCAAACGATTAACAGACATTAAAACAGCGCGTCTAGTCTACTTCAGCTACTTCCACAGTGTTATGACATATATGACGCTGCCGACATTGAATGTATCTTTGTGTTGCAAAAAAGGGCGGTCCGGGCTAACCATGGTATGGTATCTCGGGAGTCATTAAGAGATACCTTTAAAAATATCGGCATACTTACTGTGTACTCGCAGTATATTTATGAAAATGTATTGTATGTCCATAAGAATACAAGCAAGTTTAGCAAGAAAAGTCATAGGCATAATTTGAACTTACGAAATAAAGATAACCTAGTTATCCCCAAATATAGGCCCCATAAAATATCTAATTCATTTGAGGGATTCATTATAAATAATTTTTAAAATTTAAAAGAGAATAAAGTATATTTTACTTTAAGAAACACTTTAACGGTTTAAAACACGATATATATTAGAAAAACTTATCTCAGTCTCTCCGTGACCACGGCTGCTGCAGAGCACCCGAAACGTTTAGTCGTTGTTAAATAATTTTCAAATAAGTTTAACTCATATATATCGCGTTTTGAATTGTTAAAATGTTTTATTTAGAATCAATGAGAAATAAAATTACAAAGTGTGCAAAGGAAGCCAATTCCCCCTACAGTTATTCGAATCGTGATTCGTAAGATCACCTATCTGTAATCTGTGAGGATTGGAAAGTCATTAGAAATATTTCGGTCACTAGAATCGGGACGCACGCGATCAAAGCTTTCACTTGCCTAATTGAAGCGTAGGGCTTGTGTGTAGCTACTGTGGACCGAACTGAATGTATAACCACAGAGAAATAGAATTATAATTAATAATAAGAAAAACTACAGAGAGACCACAAAATGAGTCTTGTTACGCGAGTAGACTATAAAAATAAAACAATTTTAACAATGAAATCTTTATATTTATATAATATTGATTATATAGCTAAAATGTTTGTTTGTTTCAACTCGTTAAGAAAAATAAAAATAAAATTATATATAAAAGTTTATTAGTGATCGATGGCTACAATGGAAAATTAATCAGAAAATGTGTTGTTTTCCGTTGCGCGCGCTGCGAAAACTAAAAGAAACCAAAAAATATGTATGAATGTGGTTGTCTATCTTTTAAGATTAAATCACATGAAGCGTTGTTATGGTAATCGAAATTGGTCGAAATCATTATCAATAATTTGTTAGAATTGTACCAACATATTATTATTTTTTTACACGCAACTACGTATAAACTATAAAGTAAAGAGTATCAAAACCACGTGGACTTCCATTTTTGCAGAGAATCTGTGAAGAATTCTTCGGAGCGCGACGCTTGCGCCGGCTGTGATAAACATTTTAATTGTATCTTGTTAACTGTTCTTAATGGTTCGAGGTAGCAAATGCAAGCGGAACTTTATTTTCTTAAGTTATGCCGAAGAACAAATCGTAATTTTGTGATAAGAGTTTAATAAGAGCATTTTAGTTACAAGTTACAAATTCTCTGTATTAAGTACACTAAACTGTTCTTTGCAAATACAGAGATAGCCCACTTCGATTAAGCGTTTGTGAGACAATTAAACATATCTCTTGCCGTTAAATACGGCCTCGCTTTAAGATTACTATCAAAGTGCAACGTTTTTATTTATGTCACTACCAACTGGAAATATTTATTTGCAACAATGTTTGTAAACTAACATGGAGATACTTTTTTTACGCGCCTTTTAATTAATTTTATTTATGACTAGCTGTGCCAATGACTGCGCCCGCGTAGAATTTTGGGCATCCAAATTTGTTTTTTTCAAACCTACTCATGATTCTAAAATGTACATAATCCTAAGTTTTTTCCTTTCCAGAGTACGCCAAGATGTGGCGTGCATTACTGCTAGCGGCCATTTTGTTTCACCGGGGCCACGGTATACCAAATCGCGTTGTGGACGTGACCACAACTTGTGACAAAAGCTCTATTAGCATCCAGGTTACTATGGAGCAGCCTTTCAAGGGTCTTTTATTCAGTAAAGACTTCTCTAGAGAATGCCGTGTCCAAGGTTTGGTGTTCTTCTTGTGTAACTTATTATTCTATGACCGTAAATAATTAAGTGAATCAAACGCACTTTACGAAACCATCTTGAAGATACCTTTTTTTATATTAGCTAATACTAAAAATATTAGACAAAGTATATTCTGGTAATATATATAAGATAACCTTTTATTTTTCATTTCATATTATTTCATTTAACAGGCTTACTGTCTTAATTTTTTTGGTGTGTAACTAAATTTAGTAAAATTCGCATCAAATTATCTATCATGTGGATAGGTAACGAATATGTCTTGCTGAAACTTAAATCCCAAAAATCCTATTTACAGGACAGAAGCAAAAAACGGTGTCGATAAATCTACCCTCCAACGCGTGTGGTGTGAGAACATCGACGCTGAATACGACAGTCAACGAGCCGGATGATAAAGAGGATCTCTACTATAATGTGGAACTTGTATTACAGATGGACAAGCAGCTCCAACAATCCACTGATCAGGACATAACAGTAAGGTATAAAGCTTTACCTTATCTTGACTCTAGATGGACGTGTACTTTAAATATCTACATAGTAATATTTTTACTTTCAGGTGTAAGTTAAAACCACGCGCAGTTAGGATAAATAGCCCGGCGTTGGAAGGGGTCATTACAACTAAGTTGCGAGAAATGACAATTTCTGAAAGGAAAAAAGTCAGGTATATTTGTATTCTAATAATATCATCAATTAGGATTACTTTTAATTTTGTTGAAAATAACAAAGAATTCAATTTTGTTAGTCAAATGTTACATTGAAGAAACAAATTATTACGGTATGCAGTTAGTTGTCTACCTATGAAAGGAATGAAAGTTATTTTTAAAAAGTATTATAAATACATCCAAACTATCTGAATTTAATAATAAACCAATCTTTGATAGTACATATAATGAATTGTAAACAGATAAATGTCGGTTCTGTACCGACATTTATCTGTTTACAATTTATTTCATATTTACTGCCCGTATACCAGTTATACCATAAAACCAAATTAATCACAACTGTCAAATTATTTAAGGCTTAAAAGTAGTGTTATTGAAAATTATGATTTTTTTTTATTAAGTATGTAAAATAATTATCTGCTAGCTAAAGAATGCTGTACCACGCAAACCAAGCTGCGTTTGTATATATTGTTGTAATACGATTAGAACAACTTATTAGATCAATATTTAGATAGATCTTTTTAACTTTGATAAAGCAGGACAATATTTTTTCAGGACGGGTCGAAATCGTCAAGGTTGGGATAACCCGGTCGAATTGGAACAAAGAGATTTTCTTATGGAATCAGCTCGTGCTTGGATGGAGTTAGCACCGACGATTTCTGGCTCAGAACCTGCGACAGTTGAAGTTGGTCAACCTACGAGACTGCTTATACAGTGCACATTGCCAGGTAAAAATAATTTCTTACAAATTGAATAATTTACCTTATTTAAATGGCATTATTTGTTTGCTTATTACCTTTCTTTTAATAAAAAAGACACAATATATTACTTTTCAGTTGGCGTTGGTCTTCGAGTGACAAACTGCGTCGCTCATGATGGCTTAGGAGAAGCATCCCAAAAGCTCCTGGACGAAGCGGGGTGTCCCATTGATGAAACTATTTTTAACAAGCCATCAATACATCGACACAAGCATAAAGGAACTGAAATTGACTTTAACGACCTAGAACCAGTTGATAAAGAGAGAGACAAAGACGATCAAGATTTAAAATCTAAATCCGACCCAGAATTTATGTTTAGAAATGTAATGACGTACCAACATGCAGTTACAACATTTGCCGCTTTTAAATTTCCTGATAGAGCAAAGCTACATTTGTCTTGTGGAATAGAATTGTGTAAGGGACCATGCCCTGACATCGATTGTAAAGCTCTCTTAAAACCACAGAGGACAAAAGAAGGTCTAGTGAGGAAAGCCAGACTGGATAAAGAAGCTAAAGGCAATGTCATAGATCGGCTAGAAGTTTATAATAGCATAGAAGTTCTGGCGCCAAATATAGAATTGGAAGATGAGGCATCTATACGTGGTAAACTTTCTTTCTTCTATACTAATTTATGTATCTTTAAAAAATTGCTATAATTTTATAACGATGATTAAAAATTTCAGGTTCTAGAAGAGTAGAAGGCGAAGAAGAATTTATACGAGGATTTTCACCGGGAGACAAGACCATATGTTTATCGCCTGGGAAAATGGCTCTTGCTTTCTGCGTCTTAGGTGTCATTTTCTTATGCGCTATAGCGGTAGCATTTGCATCACTTGTGAGGGCGAGACGACGATCTGCCCACGAACCGGCGCATACATCTCTCTCTTTCTACACTGGAAGTAAGAGTGTGTTCTCTTCTAGCGAGAGTTCTAGTTCTGGATTGAGTGGAAGTAAACTGCTTTTAACAGATAGTCCGTACATGGATCACCATTCGTCTTCGAGCAATAATTGGCCATATCCTAGACCCTTTTAACTCCATGGAGAAAATTCTGTTTTATTTTTCAGTTGTAAATAAATCCCACCACAGACACTTAAAGTCCTATATCACAATACAATAATTTATTTTACTGGTATCAAATATCTTAGTGGTTTATATTATATTAGAACAAATTGTTCACTTCCCGTATGTATATTGAGTTAAGATTAGCGTAATTTTAAAATATACTTAGTAGACGTAATCTCTAAAAGACTGTGTATCTCCTTCCACTTAAGTATATTAATGAGAAGAAATCGGGAATAACAATCTAAGATTGTACTTATTTGTAAGTTGTTTCTATTTATTACATTTGAGGGAGTGCTTCTGTGAAATGGGCAATAGATATATTACGATATAATAGATATGGTTGCGGTTTTAATAAAAATATGACTAAATAGAAATTAGTTATTACCAAATAACTAAATAGATATTATTTCTAAGGGAACGAATAGATTAGAGACTTAACTATTAAAAACATTAGCCCTTCCTCGAATAAATTATTAGAGATTAAAAGAAATTATGAATATTATCCACATTGTGATAAAATTATTTACGTATATATACTATTTATACACTTAAGTAAAATACAAAGTACATTGAAAAAGTATTTTTATTTTTTATAATGTAATAAAAAATATGATTAAAAAATAAATATTGAGGTTTTACTTAAATTCATCGATAAAACATTCCACAAAAAAATATTTACCTAAAAGAGGAAAAGTCTTACATACTTAACTTATAAATAAAAGGCGGCTTATCACTACACAGCGATCTTTTCCAGGCAACCTAAAGTACAGGAAAAAAGAAATAGAAAAAGACTTAAGTAGGTAGGTTTAACGAATAAGTAAAAAGCAAAAGCAAGGGTAAACAGTAAAAGTATAAATACTGTCTATAGTTTACGCGAGTAGTACACATTTAAATAAAACATTTTAACGGTTTAAAACGCGATTCGTTCGCGACCCGTGGTCACGGGGAGACTGTCTCCCCGTGACCACGGCTGCTGCAAAGCATCCGAAACGTCGGGCCGAAGTTAAAAACCATTGTCAAATAAGTTTAACTAATATATCGCGTTTTAAACCGTTAAAGTGTTTTATTTAAACGGAAAAGTATAGTTTGTGAGGTAAAAGCAAACCCACGATGAATGGAAATTATAAATATAATTAATCAATTAAAAGTTACATTTAAATATTACAATGCAGGACCAGGAAGTGTGTTGCAGTTCCTTAAAAAACCTAAGGACCAACACAAATTTTATATATAAAAGTCACATTAGGCTTATATTATACAAAAATTTTAACATAATAAGTTTCGAATTTTCTTTGAATATCACGAATTGATATTTGATGAATGAATTGTGAATTAATTAAATATGTATTAATGAAATAATATTAGGTGATATAGTATATACCTCTTTTTACAGAGCCATCTAGTCAATATGTAAAAAGAAGCTTATAACAGTTACTATAGTAAATTAAGTTACTAATTGTACTCACTAGGTGTCGCTGTTATAAAGATGTTATACTAAGGATCGATACAGGTAAATTAAGGTACTTTCAAGTAGAAATATGATATATTTTAACTTATTAGTAAAGGAAATATTTATTTTTTAAAACACAGTTATTAACATGAACGATAAAGGTTTAGAAAGAAAATGAACAATATAAATAGAGAGTATTGACAATAGGCTTTGACTCTGTGGAAGGTTATCGTTTTAAAAGTTTGATAGTAAACCATAGTCTATCGCGCTCTACTATTTTTCTTCAAAATTCTATGTCAGTGCATGACATCATTGGGTTCAAAGATTATTAAAATAACTAGATGAGTTTTTGCAATTGTTATATCTTATAAGACTTGATTTTGTTTGTAGATCTCTAACTATAAGAGTTGAATAGAGTAAATTATTTTATTTTTTTACATTTTCACAGATGTTTTCAATTATCAGATCATATTTTTATAATAATATTTAAAAAAATCACCACTGACTTTTCCAAATTTTAAATTGAAAACAAAAATAAATATGTATGTATATAGAATTTTAAAATGTTGTTATCGCTTAAATAGTATTATATGCTACTTATTGTCGACTGAGTTAAATGATTGTCGATTGCTCTACTACATAATTTTTTTTAAAACTTTTATAGTCTATGATATGGGCGGTGAAGTGATGCTATTTTATAATTTGTACACGACGGGCGATCTTTTGAATTTCGCCTTGGCTACGAAGCCGTGTTCGTACTCGGATTTACGGATGATAGAGAACTGTATGTGAAAAGTGAATAAAAAGAGTGTTTGTTTATGAATTAAACAAAAAGCCGGTGGAGACAGTGTTGTATGTGATCTGTTTGACCTGTGTTTCAAAGAAGCATAAAAAGTACTTTCGGTATTTGTGTTAGCTGAAGAAAAGCAGGTGTAGAGTGTAGACGAAACATTCCTGGATTTTAATTTTCTAGGTATGTATATTTTTGGTATTAAATTCAAAGATCACACAGTTTAATCGTGTCTTACACTTATAAGGGCATCAAATGTTTTATATATTATAGGATCATAGCAAAGTATGTAATATATAATGCCTTGGATAATATAATATCCGTTAGTCAATATAAGTTGGATGGGTATTGTAGGTATTATAGATATTTCGTAAGTGTTATCAACATTTAGTAATGATAATAATAATTGTTATACCACACCCAGATAACCTGCTTATTGCAAGAAATCTATTTGTCAATAAGTATACACTTATAATTCCATTAGGAAAAATTGTATTTTAATATTGGAAAAGTTGACATTGTTATTTTTTTACCAGTCATCTATTGAATGTATTGTCACGAGACTATTTTGAAAATGGTATAGTTTCACTGATAGTGGAGCTAATTTTATTAGGTAGATAACCTTTATCTGACCATTTATATGGAATTATGTGTTACAATCATATTACTATGAACAGTTGCACCTTGTAGTTAATAATTGTGCAAGGTCTGGAATTATAACTGTTATAGTACAAATATTGGAAAAAGATTTTTTTTTACTTAAATTAATCAAAACTAGTAGTTTTATTGAATACAAAATATCTGCATGTGTTGTGGTAAGGTATAATAAGTCCATATATATTTAAAAGTTATGATTGTGTGAAAACCTTTATACATAAATAACAGTTAAAGTAAACATTTCTATTAAAAGTTATTGATGAATCGTTTTTGTTCAAAACATCACCTATTTTCAATTTCCATTTTTAAGTAATACTTAGCATTAAAACAGGTTTTCAAAAATTTACAGGAGTAAAATTGAAAACCACCCTCACTTACCTTATATATATAAAATCATTTTAAAACTACCTATTTTTATATATAAAACTAAATAAAATTCTGGATTTGTAAGAATGAACTAAGATAATACTGTGCATCAGCAATATCTGTATGACATCAACTATACAGACTCACTTCTCAATTTTTAAGTGTAAATTCAAATCAAGGTTACAGACTTGTAGATATGATGTCATTTAATGACCGTGCCATCTTTAGTCAGTAATGTTATGCAGTCAACCCTTGCCTTTCTAATTTGTAATTGAGATAAAAGTTATGTAAAGGCTTAGATTATTATTTTAAATCATCCTAATTAAGGACGTCTATCTACAGTTCAATATGTAACCTTTTAATCTTTAAATAAAATTAAATGTGGTCTCCCTGTGAACACAGCTGCTGTAAAGCATCCGAAACATGGGGATGTATTTGAAAATAATTTTCAAACAAGGTTAACTGAAATACTCTCGGGTAAACTACAGACTAACCTTTAAATCTATATACATCCAAACTTAAAGATTATTTTTTTATTAAGATTGTGAGCAAAACACGGACCCACAGTCAAGTAACTATTCGTAAGCAATGACTCCATTAACCATTTTTGTGTGGGAAGATTTCCATTTCGTGTTGCCTAAATTTTATTTATAATACTTTTTAATAGACAATACTATAATAAAAACAATCTCAAAACAAACCATTTCAAGGATTATATGCAAAATGCATCTGTACAATGGCAGTATGTCTAGTTGTGTGGCTTGCATAATTGATGACTCTGAGAAGGAGTTAAGCAACCTCCGCGTTCATAAGAAGCTATGTACCTTCATACTTCAATGTAACTTAGAATCTAAGCAAATGTTGTGTTTTAAAAAGTGTTAAATAGGTAAAAGTCACATGTCAAGGCACTAATTTATTATTCTGTCTATAAGTCTTCTAAAATAAAATACCTGCTCATAATAGAATATATCTTATAAGAGAAAATAAAATTATTATTTTAATTACATCAATATTTTAAAATCCAATTCATGGCTTATAAGATTTCTATAGGATCTTAATAATATTCCTGTATAAACACAGGTTGTTTGACAGTTAAAACATAATGACATAACCATATGCAATTTTGAAGGGTAATAATTCCTATGACGGTTGAACCGTTCTACCGGCCTGGGGTGGATAAGTGGGAGGGGCGAGCGTGCAATAGGGATATGCGGACGAACGGCGCCGGGAGCCCCGATCGATATCGCCGGTTCGCGCCGCAGAAACCGCGTCCTAGCGTGCGCGTCGCCCGCGTTTAGTGTTGGAGCCCGAAATAAGTGTTGTGTTTCCGTGTTTTGGATTTGACATGAGATAGTCTTCCGCTGCCTCCTGGTATGTCCCCATTCATCGATCTAAACCACATACAGCATAAGCAGCATAATGTTGCAAAATCAATACGTTGACGTGTCGTGGTTATTTCCAAGTTAATTGGCATAGTTCAAAAGCCCTAAGTCACCTTTAATTAAAACCACTGTGCCGCAAAAGGTATACCATCAATAACTGTAATTGAAAAAACAGCTAATAGAAAATTATGAATAATTTCGATTGGTGACGAGATAAAAGTAACAGGCGACATGTTAGGCTTTTTCTCCACGCCCAGATGACCTAGAATACAGGAAATTTAGGTATAGGGAGCAGGCGCGGACGCGGCTAGACGGATAAATTTAA